GATTTCGTCTTTCGAATTTCGGTATTCACGCACAGGAGAGATACGGTAAACGGACTGCATTCGCGCACAACAATACCCCGACAACACGAGTCACGACAAGAAGCGTATCGAAGTGGCGATGCCGCACGAGTCCGCAACGGCAATATGGCGAGGTTAAGATATACTCGCCGGCCGGCTGAATAACTCGCCGTCCTGATTTATGGCAAACGAACGACACTAATTGTTGCACCGCGGATTATCACCTTTGATTAGTTCATCGTTCTGAGGACGAGAACGATAGCGACTCCGTCACGCGAGTAGATTCTCGATCCTTCGTCGACCGAGATCAGTTATTCTTGACGCGCAGGAATACACGATCTTGTCTCTTGTCGATTGCCGATTAGCGGTGTCCTGCGGAAAACAGTTGTCATCAGACGCGAACGTGTCGCGACCGTCGCGACCGTCGCGACGCAGCGCAGTGCGTTACGCACGCCTCGCGAAGTAGTGCGGGTTATTACCCGCGAGAAATATTTTTCCTCACGTTGCTTTACGATAGTGCTAACGATCTGTAGCGCAATGAATCACATTGCAAAGCTAAATTTCGCGAGCGCTGTGCTAACCAAGAATTTTTAATTAGAAATGTATGCTATAACGTACATAAATTTAAATAAGTTACATATGATTGTAAATTTACAATTATTTTTTATTTGTGCAATACATACTTACGTAAAAATGCAGCTATGGTGTGTAAAATTATCTTATACTATGTAATATTACCATATAATATGTAATATTACAAAAAAATTGTGCATTTACACAAAGTCTACAAATTTTATTTTTAATCTTGTAATTTTTCGTCACATATAAATGCTTATTTACACTACAAGAGTAAAAAACTTTTTTGTAAAAGTACACGAATTTACACATTTCCGTTATTAATTATGTAATTGTTACATTTATTATTTGTGTAATTTTACACTTTTTTTACAGTGTAAGCCACCGCGGAGAGCGTACGGGCAGTCGAAAATGATTGATTTGCGGTTTCCGCCGCAACATTACCGCCCGCCTCGTCCAGCGGACGAAGCAATCGGTCAAAGGGGGGGCGCCGCCCGCCATTAGGTGACGGCCGGGTTGACCCGTGTAGGTGAGTACATGCGGCTTACGCGGAGTGCCGTTGAGAAGGCACTTAGATAACTACGAGCTGCAAATGAAATACGCATCATTACGAATCCTTAATAATTACGAGACGCAGGCGGCGTAGTCTTAAACTAACTTAGACATGAGTCCTCAGGCGACAGGCGTCGGTTCAAGAGGTAACGGACACAGTTTCGTGACCGGTCGCTTTAGAATGGAGTTCGCTGTCTTCAATGAGACGACACGGACGAGGCCATCCGGTCCCGGGTGCAACGCGGTAACTCGGGCGAGAGCCCATTTGGCGGGGGGTTGGAGCTCGCTCTTAATTAATACCAGATCGTCCACCGAGAGGTTCGACGCCGGCTTCATCCATTTCCTCAGCTGCTGTAAATGGTGAAGGTACTCGGTCGACCATCTCTTCCAAAAGTGATCGCGCATGGCAGAGGTCAGTGCCCAGCGATTTCTTAAACGACGTAGGTTGTCGTCTTGCGCGGGGTATTCCGCGACATTCACGAGGGGTTCGCCTATCAACAGATGCCCTGGCGTCAGGACGCTTAGATCGGAGGGATCATTGCTAAGGGCGTACAACGGACGCGAGTTGAGACAAGCCTCAACTTGCGTTAACACGGTCGCTAGCTCCTCATAGGAGAGTGGGTGGTCGCCGATGACCTGCCGGAGGTGGTACTTCGCCGATTTCACGCCGGCCTCCTATAGGCCGCCGAAGTGCGGGGCTCCTGGTGGTATGAAGGACCAGGTCGTGCCGCCGTTGGCGAGGGACGTCACACTTTCCTTGTAGAAGTCGGAAGCAGCCCGGAACATGGAGGCCAGCTCCTTGGCAGCGCCCCGAAAGTTGGTGCCGTTGTCGCTTATCAGTTGTTGGCAGTGACCCCGCCGCGAGGTAAACCTCCGGAAGGCGGCTAAAAAGGAGACAGAGGTAAGACCGGAGACCGGTTCCAAGTGGACCGCTTTGGACGCTAAACAAACAAAGAAACAGATGTAGCCTTTGATGGTCTTGTGACCTCGACCCATCGAGGCGCACATCTGTATAGGACCCGCGTAGTCGACCCCGGACATCCGGAAAGGCCGCATGGCTTGGATTCTTTCCGCAGGGAGCTGTCCCATCTGCTGCTCCGCGGCGACGCCTCGGAAGCGCGCACAGCGTACGCACGCGTGAATTACCGATCTGACCAATGAATTGGCTCTCAAGATCCACACCCGTCTCAGCAAAAGGCTTCGTGTGAGTTGGGGCCCTCCGTGAAGCGACAGGGCGTGAGCTTCCCGCACGAAGAACAAGGATAAGTGGTTGGTTTTGCTGAGAATCAGCGGGTGCTTCTCGTTGAAAGGCAGCGAGGAGCGCTGAAGTCGTCCACCAGCAGTCCTTCGTCGTCCAGGAATGGCCTTAGCGGCCTGAGGGTAGACCGGGCCATAAGGGGTTGTTTCCTTTCAAGCCGCGTGATCTCCTCCGCAAAGTCCTGGCGCTGCGCAATGCGAACCCAGCGGGTACGGGTTGAATTCAGTTCGGCGCTCGTTATATATCCCAGAAGTCGATTCTGAGTACGCCGCGCGTTATTCAAGAACCGCGCGCAGAGCGCGGTTACACGTAGTAGGCGTTGCATTGTGGAGAAGCGACACAGCACATCATTTCCCTCCATCGCTCGCGCAAGGTGAGTCGCCGTTACGCGCAACTCCTCCTCATGATTCGTGGCCCCGGGCGGGGGTTGAGTGGGTTCCGGGTAGTCCTTGTAACCCAGCCAGGGCAGTCTAGACCACCAAAGTTTAAGCGTCATCAGATCGTCCGGGCCTATGCCGCGAGTCGCGGCGTCGGCCGGGTTGTCGGCGGTAGGCACGTACCGCCATCGATGCGGGGGCACCAACCCTTGTACTTCAGCCACCCTGTTCGAGACGAAAGTCGCCCACCGGGAGGGGTGGGCTCGGATCCAGCATAGAGCCACCGCAGCATCAGTCCAGGCGTATACGGGCGCATCATCGAGGCCGAGGCCTTTGATCGTGCGATGCAATAAGCGGGCTAACAGCAGCGCACCACATAGCTCCAACCTCGGAATTGTGACCGATTTGACCGGAGCGACTTTAGTTTTCGCCACCAATAGGGAGACTTGGATGTTGCCGTCATCATCCATCGTACGTAAGTACACGGCAGCCGCGTAAGCGCGACTAGACGCGTCCGAGAACCCATGAACCTCGACGGCGGTCCCCTTCCCGTAATAGTTAACCGAGCGAGGCGTATGCAGTTTGTTTAATCGCGGTAGTGAGTCCGCGAACTTCGTCCACCTAGTTTGCAGCTCCGTCGGAAGAGGCTGATCCCACGAGAGGCCGTGCACCCATAGATCTTGGATGAAGATCTTCCCGTAGACGAGAACTGGTGCGGCCCAACCGAGGAGATCAAAGAGTCGCGCGACGACAGAAAGAACTGTCCTTTTAGTGGATGCGTTAGAACTCAACGGGGGGCAACACGCAGCGAAAGGCAGTCAGCGGATGGGCTCCACAGTACGCCTAGAGTGCTCACTCCTTCACGAGCGTGAAACAGCTTCTCGCTCGCCTGGCCATCCGGACACAGTTCCGGAGCGTTCGCCGCCCACTTGCTCAGCTGGAACCCCCCCGCTGCGAGGAGCGCCACCAGCTGACGCTGAACCTCCATCGCATCTTCCAGAGTGTGGCCACCTGCAAGAATGTCATCTACATAAGATTGTGAGTCAATCGCGTTGGCCCCAAGAGGATAGGCGGCCCGTTCATCATCCGCAAGTTGCTTGAGCGTGCGTAATGCCATATAGGGAGCCGAGGATGTTCCGTAGACCACGGTCGTCAGACGGAAATCCTGCACTTCAGCCGTGGGATCGGAGCGCCACAGGATGCGCTGAAGGTCGACGTCCTCTGGGTGCACACGGATCTGTCTGAACATCTTAACGATATCGGACGTGAAGGCGTAGCGATAGAGACGCCAGCGCGACAATATCAGCCAGAGCTCCGACTGCAGTTTGGGCCCTGCGAGAGCGGGTCATTGAGAGAAACTCCGGTATGCGTGCGATGCGAAGCGTTAAATACCACGCGTATCTTAGTCTCTTCGTCCGTGGTCTTGAAGACCGCGTGATGCGGCAAGTAGTACGCATCTTCGCGATGCTGTTCCGTAGCCGGAATGAGTTCCATGTGGCCCAGTGTTTTGTATTCGTCCATAAAGTCCGTATACATCCTTCGAATGCACGGGTTACGCCTTAATCTGCTTTCAGATCGGACGAATATGTTGAGCGCTTCGCGGCGATTGTTGCCTAATTTCAGTGGTGGATCCCGGCGATGAGGCAGGCGTAGGGTGTAACGCCCACGCGTATCGCGAGTGTGCGTGGTCGCAAAAAGCGACTCGCAGTAGTCGTCCTCTGGCGTCGGAATCGGAGCGGTCTCCAACTCCTCCAGCGCCCAGAACCGCTGTAAGGCTCGATTTAGATCCACGTCTGCCGTCGCAACGTGTAACGCGGAGACACTCTGGTCCGCGGTCGTCGGTTCGGGTTTTGACGCTTGGCCCATGAGCACCCAACCCAGTGCGGTCGCCTGTGCGCAGGGGGCGCCCGCCGGTCCCATCTTCAGTCCTTCTCTTAGGAGGATCCCATAAGCGTCTGCTCCGAGGATCGCGTCCACCCCAGCGGGCTGATCAAATCGAGGATCGGCAAGAGCCAACCCGTCCAAGTGAGGCCAGTCACCCCGCGTCATTCTGCGCGACGGCAGCGTCGAAGTCAGTTTTGGCAGTACTAGGGCTGCAGGCAATCTGACCTGCAGTTCTGCATCTCGAGGCGAGCCCAGCGTGAGGGCCACCGAGTGGTAGACCACACCCGAGGACGCTACCTGTATTCCCGAGAGAGGGATACGGACGCGCCGTCTTGGCAGTCTCAGCGCCTGAGCCACGCGCTCGCTTACAAATGTCGCCTCGGATCCCGAGTCGAGAAGCGCGCGGATGACCACTGACTTCCCATCGGCGCTGGGACACGTCGCCAGGGCGGTAGACAGTAGTATCTGCCGCCTCGAGGTCGCCGTCAAGGCTGCTACGTTTGACTGTATCGCCGATGTGGACGGGGCGTCCTTCGGCTTGGCCTGGGACTCCGTGGTCGTGACGCCCTCGCTGGTATCTGTGCTAGCGGGAGAGGATTCATCAGAGTTATGAAGCATAGTATGATGCTTCCCTTGGCAACGCAAGCAGCGCGAGCCGGAGGGACAGTTCGACGCACCGTGCTTCAACCTGAGGCAGTTGAAGCAAGCTCCCTGTTTCTTCACGTGCTCCCGTCGTTGGGGCACCGAAAGAGCCTCGAAGCGCGGACAATAATTGAAAGCGTGGTTACCTTGACACAGCGAGCAGCGCTTGGATGCCTTCCGCTCTTCTGAGGCGGAGGTCGCAAGCGCGTTTACCTTGCCTTTGCGATCTGGAGTCTTCGAGCCCACGGCCGACACAGGCAACGGCTTGGGGGTGGCCGCGTCCAGGGCGCGGATGCGAGTGTGCAGGAAGTCCTGCAGCTCTCTAAAGGTCGGGAACTCATCACTGGTCTGCAGAGAGGCCTCCCATAGGAGGCGCGTGGACGAATCCAATTTTTCTACCGTGATGTGGACGAACCAGTCGTCGTCCGTCGGTCGCTCGAGAGATGCGAACGCGCGGCGTGCCCGAAGCGCGTCACTGATCAAGCGTTTGATCTCCGTAGAGCAAGGTTTTGCTATCGCGGCACTGTTCAAAAACGCACGCATATGGGTCGAGAGCAATACTCGTTTATTATTATAGCGTGAGGTTAATTCTGTCCACGCCAACTCGTAACCCTTATCATTGAGTTCCACACTGGCCACGATTGCCGCCGCCTCACCGGTTAGGCTGGCTTTCAAGTATTGCAGCTTTTGAACGGGTGGTAAGTCCGTCACGTCGCCCACTAGTGAACGAAACAAGTCTCGGAAGCCTTCCCATTCCAATTGACCTCCCGAAAAGGTAGGCAGGCTTATTTTGGGTAATTGGATCTGTCGCATAATCGGCGCAGTGATTGCGACCGAATCTTGCCGTTTATCTGCCGAGGTAGTAATGACGAAATCTTTGTTTTAATCGCCACATAGCTATCCTCCGTTCGCGTGTAGACATCGGGAGTGGCTCACTTGGACACAGTACAAGTGGACACTGTGCAAATGGACACGGTGCAAATAGACACGGAATATTGCACACGGTTCATTTGGACACAGAAATTTTGGACACAGAAAAGTTTCACACCATAATGTTGGCCGTGTCCAACTTTTCCGTGTGCAACTTTTACCGTGTGCAAATGAGCGGTGTTCACTTGTGCCGTGTCCAACTTTTCGGTGTGCAACTTTCACCGTGTGCATATGAGCGGTGTCCACTTGCGCCGTGTCT